GGGTGTCCAGCCACTCCTGGGGTGTCCACCCACTCCTGGGGTGTACACCCACTCCTGGGGTGTCCACCCGTACTGGGGTGTCCAGCCACTCCTGGGGTGTCCACCCACTCCTGGGGTGTACACCCACTCCTGGGGTGTACACCCACTCCTGGGGTGTACACCCACTCCTGGGGTGTCCACCCGTACTGGGGTGTCCACCCGTACTGGGGTGTACACCCACTCCTGGGGTGTCCACCCGTACTGGGGTGTACACCCACTCCTGGGGTGTCCACCCGTACTGGGGTGTCCAGCCACTCCTGGGGTGTCCACCCACTCCTGGGGTGTCCACCCGTACTGGGGCGTCCAGCCACTCCTGGGGTGTCCACCCGTACTGGGGTGTACACCCACTCCTGGGGTGTACACCCACTCCTGGGGTGTCCACCCGTCCTGGGGTGTCCACCCGTACTGGGGTGTACACCCACTCCTGGGGTGTCCACCCGTACTGGGGTGTCCAGCCACTCCTGGGGTGTCCACCCACTCCTGGGGTGTCCACCCGTACTGGGGTGTCCAGCCACTCCTGGGGTGTCCACCCGTACTGGGGTGTACACCCACTCCTGGGGTGTACACCCACTCCTGGGGTGTCCACCCGTACTGGGGTGTCCACCCGTACTGGGGTGTCCAGCCACTCCTGGGGTGTCCCCCCCTCCTTGGGTGTCCCCCCCCCCCCCCTTCACACCCTAACAACAAGAGCGCTCGTCAAACCTCTTGTTTACAAACCTGAAATTCTAGTTCAGCTTAATGTAGTGTAAGTGACGAAGGCTGAGTTGTTAACACTTTATTGGCTCTACTGGTCCGTTGTTCTTCCTGTTCTCTATGTTGTCTTGTTCATCCTGGTCTTTGTGTTGTCTTGTTCATCCTGGTCTTCATGTTGTCTTGTTCATCCTGGTCTTTATGTTGTCTTGTTCATCCTGGTCTTTATGTTGTCTTGTTCATCCTGGTCTTCATGTTGTCTTGTTCATCCTGGTCTTTATGTTGTCTTGTTCATACTGGTCTTCATGTTGTCTTGTTCATCCTGGTCTTCATGTTGACAACACCTTGTCAACAGCGCCTGTCAACACCCGTAACACCTCCCCGTCCTCCTGTCTACACAAAAACTTTGTGACCCTGTGTAGTAGTGTTGTCCAGGTCTTAAGTGTAGCGTGTTGTCCAGGTCTTAAGTCTAGCGTGTTGTCGAGGTCATTAAGTGCAGGTGTTGGGGAGGTCTTAAGTCTAGCGTGTTGTCCAGGTCTTAAGTCTAGCGTGTTGTCGAGGTCATTAAGTGCAGGTGTTGGGGAGGTCTTAAGTCTAGCGTGTTGTCAAGGTCTTAAGTGCAGGTGTTGACCAGGTCTTAAGTCTAGCGTGTTGTCGAGGTCGTAAGTAGAGCGAGATACGAGCAACACATCCGTGTAAACAGGTCTGATGGTCCATGCTAAACATCAGACCAAGTGATCATAAGACTACCCATCCTCCGAATAGACAGTACGTTTTAATACTTAATGTAATAAGTACATTCCTGACTGTCTGCATAGTATAAATACACTTAATTGTGCCCTTACATTTACCTCCCCACATATTCTCATTTTCTGTTAAAACACAAAATGATTAGGTTGAAGTTTTCATGTTCAATACTATAAACACAAGTTTTAAATATAAAGAATTTATTTTTCAGTTTTATTAAACAATAGAGATTTTATACAAAATTTGAAAATATCCTGAGTTACTTTATAATTTATTGAAAGATTTTAGTTTTGTTTTATTAGTTTTATAAAAATGTAATATCAATATAGTTATAGGTTAAGTACTAATTGTAATTAAGAAGCAATAAATGTTATTTAACTGCATGTCCTCCTACACAGCCAAGGTTAGGTTAGGTCGTGGTTTTCTATACAGCTTCTCAGGTAAACTCTAATATTCACAAACTTTTGGTGCGATGCTGGCGATTAAGTGTATTTATGTACTATGCCGATAGTCAGGATTGTACTTATTACATTTAGTATTAAAACGTAGTCTATTCGGAGGATGGGCTGTATAAGATCACTTCCTTATCTTCCAGCCGCTGATGTTATCTTGGTAATCCGAGACCCGAGCGCTCTTCCCGCCATGTACTTAGATAACAGATTAGATATCGACACGATTACTTGAAAGATTCGTGAGATAGTTTTAATTCTCGATAGTCATTGATGTGAGGCATGATTGATGGTCCTAGTTAGTGTTGTTGGAGATGCTGAGGGAGGGAGGGAGGTTAGGGGAGGGTTGGTACACTTTGGGTACACTTTGGGTACACTTTGGGTACACTTTGGGTACATTTTGGGAACACTTGGGGGTGCCCCTGTGGTGTAATTTAGGTGTGTTATTGAGAAATCACGTTGTTCTTGGAACTTAGCAGTGTCCTCTGGCACCATCAGAGACACTGCTGTGTCCTGTATCATTACAAGAGACACTGGTGTGTCCTCTGAAATAACGAGACAGTTATGTATCCTCATATATCACCAGAAATACTTACATAACATTTAGAGATGCCAAAGATTCTTGTATCATCTGGCATTGCTGTAATGTATTTATCTTCTGAACTGTACCAAATTTTGTAATTTTCTTGTATTATACATTATTACAAGGAAGCCTAACCCTTGGGGGGGGGCAACAGTTTCAGCCTAATAAATTGGTCATATATTTAAATATTAATAAATTTGTATATTTACCATTGCCAGAATATACAAAATTTGGGGAATACAGAATTTTTGCTTTCGGGAACAAAAACATATTCAAAAATAATTTAATGATAGTGATTTTAAAGTATATAATGTACAGCATTTTTTTGACAGGAATATTCAGAGCTCAAATAATATTTTTATTGTATCTAAATCTTTGTTAGTTTTCGATTTATTCCCTATTAAGAATTTCTAATTGTCGTAAGAATTCTTATGACAATTTTTTTTATTTTAATTCCTAAAAATTTGGATTTTTTTCATTAATTTTAAAATTAATTTTAAAATTAAATTTAATTTTAATATGGTGAACGCCTATTTAGAGTTGGTTTAAAACGTGTGTATGTTGACCTAGGTGAACCAGTCCCTAGGACCTAGGTGAACAGATGAACCTGTTAAAGCCCGATTTGCCACAACGTGCAGAATACGACCTCCTAACCTAACCAGAAACTCACTCAAGCAACTCGCCCAACCTATCCAGTCCGATCCGGAGTACTCTGTAACGTGTATGTCCATTACGTGGAGAATGAGACGTGTTGGTTGAATTGTCGGGTTGCCTAAAGTACACACCACCACCCCCATCTATCTTGTAGAGGTGTAGTGAGGGTCGAGCCTCTCCACTCACAACAAGAAGGGAAGCACTCACAACAAGAAGGGAAGCACTCACAAGAAGGGAAGCACTCACAACAAGAAGGGAAGCACTCACAACAAGAAGGGAAGCACTCACAACAAGAAGGGAAGCACTCACAACAAGAAGGGAAGCACTCACAACAAGAAGGGAAGCACTCACAACAAGAAGGGAAGCACTCACAACAAGAAGGGAAGCACTCACAACAAGAAGGGAAGCACTCACAACAAGAAGGGAAGCACCAAACAAGAAGGGAAGCACTCACAACAAGAAGGGAAGCACTCACAACAAGAAGGGAAGCACTCACAACAAGAAGGGAAGCACTCACAACAAGAAGGGAAGCACTCACAACTCCATATTGGGAAACAATTCCGATCCTCCAAGATAACCTTTTGGACGCGCGTACGAGCAGAGGGAAGAACCAGCAGAGGCCAGCCAGGCGGCCGGCTCTCAGCCTTGACATTTGGCGCTGGGACCCACTCGAAAAAAACTCACCTTTGGAAACTTTGGGTTGATCACCGTTGTCCTGGGACACACACACCTGTCCCAGTGTTGTCCTGGGACACACACACCTGTCCCAGTGTTGTCCTGGGACACACACACCTGTCTTAGCGTTGTCCTGGGACACACACACCTGTCTTAGCGTTGTCCTGGGACACACACACCTGTCCCAGTGTTGTCCTGGGACACACACACCTGTCTTAGCGTTGTCCTGGGACACACACACGTGTCCCAGTGTTGTCCTGGGACACACACACCTGCCCAGCGTTCTCCTGGGACACACACACCTGCCCCAGTGTTGTTCTGGGACACACACACCTGTCTTAGCGTTGTCCTGGGACACATACACACCTGTCCCAGTGTTGTCCTGGGACACACACCTGCCAAACATTCTGCCTTACTCTTCTGTCTTCCAGTGTCGTAAAGTGCATTTCCCGCAGCCTTTCCTCGTAACTCATGCCTCTTAGTTCTGGGACTAGTCTAGTGGCATACCTCTGAACTTTTTCCAGTTTCGTCTTGTGCTTGACAAGGTACGGGCTCCATGCTGGGGCCGCATACTCCAGGATTGATCTTACATATGTGGTATACAAGATTCTGAATGATTCCTTACACATGTGTGTGTGTGTGTGTGTGTGTGTGTGTGTGTGTGTGTGTGTGTGTGTGTGTGTGTGTGTGTGTGTGTGTGTGTGTATAAAGGGTATGAGGAAGCGGGTCAGAATTGTATTTTTCCTTTGTAAACGCACATTAATGACGCTATGTAAAAAGACACCTTGAACACTGCTTATGTAAGACACGTATATCTGTGTATTTACGTATATAGGTTAGGTTAGGTTAGCATTTTGAAAGCACTACAATCACCATCTGTGGGTGACTGTTCAATAAGTCGCTGAACTATATGCTTAACACATCTCTCACTCTGTCCATGGAGGACAGAAGAAAAATGTATATATGCAGGTTAGCATTGTAAATGTCTGGCCACGTCTGTGGTAGAAAATAATAACAAAAAATACCCCCCCTACCACCACACCACCACCCCAACCACCACCCCCTACCACCACACCACACCCCTACCACCACACCACCACCACAACAAGCCGCTCGCCTCACATAAAACTTGAGGTATTCACAAAAAATAACAAATTCGAAGGTCACAGCGTCATAATGCCAAATGCTAAGGCCCGAGGGGACGACCCGTCGTCCTGGGGTGAGGCCCGAGGGGACGACCCGTCGTCCTGGGGTGAGGCCCGAGGGGACGACCCGTCGTCCTGGGGTGAGGCCCGAGGGGACGACCCGTCGTCCTGGGGTGAGGCCCGTGGGGACGACCCGTCGTCCTGGGGTGAGGCCCCTGGAGACGACCCGTCGTCCTGGGGTGAGGCCCCTGGAGACGACCCGTCGTCCTGGGGTGAGGCCCGTGGAGACGACCCGTCGTCCTGGGGTGAGGCCCCTGGAGACGACCCGTCGTCCTGGGGTGAGACCCATGGAGACGACCCGTCGTCCTGGGGTGAGACCCATGGAGACGACCCGTCGTCCTGGGGTGAGGCCCGTGGAGACGACCCGTCGTCCTGGGGTGAGACCCATGGAGACGACCCGTCGTCCTGGGGTGAGACCCATGGAGACGACCCGTCGTCCTGGGGTGAGACCCATGGAGACGACCCGTCGTCCTGGGGTGAGACCCATGGAGACGACCCGTCGTCCTGGGGTGAGACCCATGGAGACGACCCGTCGTCCTGGGGTGAGACCCATGGAGACGACCCGTCGTCCTGGGGTGAGACCCATGGAGACGACCCGTCGTCCTGGGGTGAGACCCATGGAGACGACCCGTCGTCCTGGGGTGAGACCCATGGAGACGACCCGTCGTCCTGGGGTGAGACCCATGGAGACGACCCGTCGTCCTGGGGTGAGACCCATGGAGACGACCCGTCGTCCTGGGGTGAGGCCCGTGGAGACGACCCGTCGTCCTGGGGTGAGACCCATGGATACGACCCGTCGTCCTGGGGTGAGACCCATGGAGACGACCCGTCGTCCTGGGGTGAGACCCATGGAGACGACCTGTCGTCCTGGGGTGAGACCCATGGAGACGACCCGTCGTCCTGGGGTGAGGCCCGTGGAGACGACCCGTCGTCCTGGGGTGAGACCCATGGAGACGACCCGTCGTCCTGGGGTGAGACTGTTACCTATCGTACGTTACGGCTCGTGATCCTACAGCAGCCAAACTTTAATAAGTCTAGGGATACGACACAACTGCTGTTCTCAATAGCGAATCACCAGTATAACCCCTTAATGGGTAATGAGCATAAAATAGAATCTTCATAGGACTGAAGAATAAAGATACTAAGTATAGATATATACTATTATATTAAATAAATCTCAAAGGCAAACAGATGATTATATGGTCACAATATATCACATTAAAAATATCACTGTAACTTCCAGACATTAAATCAATACTAAGAATAATTATGGCTATGACAGAACAACTGAACTTAACTTCAACAAGTGTTATCTCCCTGGTTTCTGCTCAGCTACTGAACTACAATATGCGAGTCAAAAAACACATTGCCTTGCCCCGCGAATAAATTGCCAAAGTTACAATATTTATTATTTCAACAATGGAGCACTACATTGTGACAAGAGTAATCTTAAACTAACTTAATGAATAATTAGTACATATTGATATAGACAAACAAAAGTAATTGTTTCTTTACATAGTAATTAAAATATGCATACAGAATAGAAATAATGGCATGCACACCCCAGCAACGGACGATCCCACGACAATTTGCCAGATACAGTTCACTCAATTATTATTTCACTCTGTTACCCACTTATGATCACATATAAATCATTAGTTCCCGTGGGAAAACTGATCACACAAAGAAATAAACAATCATTCCCACGATACGCTGGGCCTAACGCCAACACTGTAACATGAATGTGCATTTGCATAGAACATATAAGTATAACAATATACATGCTTGTAATTTACATACAATTATAAATGTACATATTAATATATTCACTTACGTATCTTATAAGGGTACGTAACACTTCCACCTCCAAGAAAAAAAATGCAATGGATTGAAGATCAATGGCATTTTTTCAGAAGTAAAAATGTTAAGTAAAAAGAAACATTTCATTTATGGTACATCAAAACTTCTTGACAAAGCATCAGCAATAACATTTTGTCTGCCTGGAATATGTTTGATTTCTACATTAAATTCCTGCAAAAACAATGACCATCGCAGAATTCGTTGGTTCTTGACTTTCATCATATTTATAAAGATAAGGGGGTTGTGGTCTGTAAATACTAACACTTTATTTCCTGATAAGTAAATCTCAAACTTCTTGATTGACAATATAAGACCCAACGCCTCCTTTTCTACCACGGAATAATTTCTCTGAGCTGCATTAAATTTTCTGGAATAGTAATACACAGGATGCTCAATCTGGTCTAAACCAACTTGAATAAGCACAGCACCTATCCCAACATCTGACGCATCAATGTGTAATATAAATGGTTTATCAAATTGGGGACTAGCAAGAATAGGTGAGGTGGACAATATGCCCTTTAGGTTCTGAAAAGCATTCTGACAATCTTGTGTCCACTGAAACTTTACTTGCTTGCGTAACAAGTTTGTCAAAGGAGCAGCTACTGTTGAAAAATTTCTACAATAACGCCTATAGTATGCACACATACCAATAAACCGTTGGACTCCTTTCTTATTGGTCAACACTGGGTAGTCCACAATGGCTTGAATCTTATCTTGTAAGGGGATAATCTTACCTTGTCCCACCTCGTGGCCAAGATAAGTTATCGTACCTTTTGCCCAACTACACTTATTCATATTTATGGTTAACTTTGCGTTTTCCAACACTGTAAACAAGTTCTTAAGGCCTAAGAGATGATCGGCCCAATTCTTACTGTACAAAACAATGTCATCAAGGTAGGCCCTACAATCTGGCACATCCTTGAGTAAGAAATTCATAAGTCTTTGAAAAGTAGCAGGTGCATTTCTCAAACCGAATGGCATGACATTAAATTCATACGCACCATCAGGTGTAACAAAAGCAGTAACCTCTCTAGCATACTCTGTTAATGGAATTTGATAATACCCTTTTGACAAATCAAGCTTACTTACATATTCGGCATGACCTATGGACTCTATACATTCTTCCAACAAGGGTAAAGGAAAAACGTCCACTGTAGTGTTCTTGTTCAGTTTCCTGTAATCCACGCACAATCTCCAGGTTCCATCTGGTTTTGGCACTAACAAACACGGAGAGCTCCAAGTACTTTGACTTGGCCGAATGAAATCATGCTGGAGCAGATATTCCACTTCTGCTTGCATAATTTTCCTCTTTTCGGGATTCACTCGGTACGGATGTTGTCGAATGGGGGTGCTGTCCAGGAGCTGAATGTCGTGTGTGATGAGGTGGGTCTGGGTAGGAACCTCCCCAAACAGAGATGTATGGTTGTCCAGCAGAACCTGGAACTCATCACGTTGTTCCTCCTGTAAATGACATAGCATCTCCCTGCCATTGGAACTGGAACTGAGAAGTTGGATATTAACATCATGTCCCTCACTACAATTATCCTCAGGTGGTAACTCTTCCCGACTAAAACAAGCTACTACACCAGGTCCAACATAAGCTTTTAATCTGTTAATGTGTACAGTCATTTGGGGTTCTGAAAGATTAGGGTTAATTAGTTTATAAGTTAGGTCTCCCACCTTGTCTACCACTTGGTAGGGTCCTGCGAACTTATGGGACATGGAAGTCCCCATACGAGGTTTCAACACCAACACCAAATCTCCGACATCAAACGACCTTAGCTTAGCTTTGAACTTCTTGTCATATCGTACTTTCATGGCTTGTTGAGTCCTTCCCAGATGTTCTTTCGCCAACTCACGAGCCCGACACAACTTAGCCTTGACCTCGCTCAAGTACAATCCGCTCTGATGAACAGAGACATCTCCCAACAACTTTTCTTGTAGCATTTTAAGAGGACCTCTTACTTGGTGACCAAACACTAGTTCAAAGGGTGAACAGCCCAATGACTCTTGTAGCCCTTCTCTAGCAGCAAACAACACAAAGGGGAGATTCTCATCCCAATTACGTGGATGAGTTTCTCCGGTTGTCTTCAGCATTTGTTTCAAAGTCTGGTGGAAACGTTCAAGTCCACCTTGGCTTTGTGGATGATATGGACTGGACAATTTGTGCCGAATCCCTCGGGATTCGCAAAAAGTTCTGAAAACTTTAGAAACAAAATTTCCCCCATTATCACTCTGAATAACTCTAGGCATTCCAAACAACGAAAAGAATCTTTCAAGACACTTGATGAGATTATGAGCCTTGGTATTCCGTAGAGCATAAGCTTCAGGAAATCTAGTAGTCATACACATGAGAGTGAACAAAAACATGTTACCCGATTTAGTCTTAGGTAAAGGACCCACACAATCAATTACAACATGAGTAAATGGTTCATCAGGAACTACAATAGGTTGCAATGGTGCTCTAGGTACAGATTGATTTGGTTTACCAACAATTTGACAGGGTATACAGTTATGACAATATCTGACCACGTCTTTCTTTAACTTTGGCCAGAAAAAATATTTACTTATCTTATGGTACATATTCGTGATACCTTGATGACCTCCCATGGGGTCATCATGTGCAGCCTGCAGGACCTGCCTACGATAATCATTGGGGACAACGAGTTGGGTTCTAATCTCACAATCCTCTGAAGAGGGAGTTCCCTTGGGTCTCCACCTTCTCATCAGAAGTCGATCCTTGAAGAAGAAACCCGTCCCTTCCTCCAATGCATCAATATTATCAGGAGCCTCAGAAATACACTTACTTAAACTAGGATCAGTAGTCTGTACAACACTTAAGGGCAATGACTCAGACTCAGCAGCGAGCGGGCAAGAACCTAGTAGCTTGATCTCTTTTCCCGATTGATCAGAATAAAATGGAGTCATAGCTACTTCGGCCTCACTCTCGACAACTGGCGCACTGGAGACAAGCGGGCAAGGTACAGATAGTTCAGCCTCCTCACCTTCACTTTCCTTGTGATTTAGGTTCGGCGGGGCTTCTACTACGGCCTCACTCTCATCATCCAGTCGAGTCATAAAAGAATCCTCAAGATCCACCTCCCACTCCTTTACTGAAGGGGTCCTGGTCTTGGGATCAGCAACCTTAGTGAAGACAGGATTACTCTCACCTGTTTTTCCCATTGATCTAGTAACAACACAAGCAGGGTAAATAATATCATCATCTGCTTCCGGTTGAGCTAATACATTATGGGGTTTAGTTAACATGATGGGACACTTGGGCCCTACAACCATTTGGTTGCCAAAATCATTACCTAGAATAATGTCTACCCCAGGAATGGGCAGTTGTTTACTTACACCAACATTACACCATCCTGAAGTATATTTAGAATCAAGGTTAACTTGCAATAAGGACACTGGTTGCACACTTCCGGCAATACCCTGGAGAAGCACAACTTCACCCAGATCTCGGGTGTCAACATCATCAAGTACCTTCTGGGTAATAAGAGACTGTGAAGCTCCAGTATCACGGAGTAATTGAACAGTCTTATGTCTACCATTAGTACATAATAAGGTACCTGTGGAAATATAGGGTTTGAATTCAGCCATCCAATTGGGACTGACTGTAATACATGAAGAATTAATAGGTTGCACTCCTTTACTCATAATAAGACCAGTTGGTCGGAGTTCAGGATGCAAACTAAAACATGAAGAAATCACATGCCCCCTTCTCTTACAATGGGTACAATGTTTGACAGTGGACACACTGGTAGAACCAACTGCCGGTTTAGAATTAGCATTACTAGGCTTAGATGATCCTGGCAATGGAGTAACCATCTTAGGGTTAGTAAGAGAAGAGTTCACGGGAGTAACTGTCGCACCAGGAGGAGACTTATACTGATAAGGAGTACGGTGAGCATTGAAATTTACTCTACGACTAGACTTAGGTGAAGTGGCCGTAAACGGGGCCTTAGTCAGCAACTCATGCTCATCCGCGAGCTTTGACAGCTCATCAATATCGGTTACATTCTTTTGTTCTGCCATAAAAGTAGACAACTGGTCTGGAAGACAGGACAATACTTCTTCCATTATGAGAAGATTCTTTAGAGCATCAAAATCAGTGA